AAAAATGACTAAACTGAGACTATTATACTTTGTGTATATTATAGATGATATGGCTTATTGGAAAAGAGAAGGATTGGCAATCAGGAAGGCAATAAGAAAAAAAAGTGACTGCATTAATGAAGGCTAGATTTAATCAAGGAAGCCATGACCATACATTTGCAAGATTTTAACGTAACTGTTAATAACAGATGCCTTGAAGGTCTCTCACTCATATTATTGCCTTAAGTCAAAATCTATATGGTGACAATTAACAACAATAATAGCCATATTTAATACCAGATGTCATGTAGAAGATGGAGCAAGCTTGTTTTCATCTGCTTCAGAATTTCCATTCTTGTAATTATAATCCATGTACCAATGGATTAAAATTATAAGAAAGGATATACTACTTAGCCATTAGGTAGAACTACTAGATGTCAAGAGCTCTTTGGCGGTAGAATGGACTTCCACAAAGGCGGCAGATTCTGAAAGTTTTCAAGTACATATTGTATAGCCATTTTTTAAAATTGCTTTAGTTTCATGGCAGGGGATTGAACTAGATGGTGATTGCTATGCCTTCCAGTTCTATGATTCTATGTAGAATTACTGCCATCTTATGTGGATGGATCAGTATAAATTGAACTGATTATAAAGTAGCAGAATCCCTTGCATTCCTGTTAACAAGTGACTAGAATGGAAGGACTGCATGATCGGTCGTTTGCCTTCATCTATTTCTTCATTTAACATAGATAAGATGAAAATTTTGAAATATTTGGTCAGGAAAAGACATTTTAATGAAAGTTAAATGCATATTTTAGAAAAAGCAGTTATTTTATCCTATAGCGATCCTGTTTTCATTTTTCAGAATATATTGCTGTGATTGTGTAGGACTTGTTTTGATTATATTATTTTATTGTTTTATATACAGTGGTGTCTTTCGACCAAAGCTGATTTTATAAAGGAAAATTGCAGTATTGTTTGGAGTTGAGAGTTGTTTGACAAGTGGAGCTTTAGTTTGCTGCTCTTGTGTATTTGTTGCCTACATTTTCTCCATCTTTGGCTGAAGATTGGAAAGGGAAGCCCTTTTGATTGCTGGACTGCTGTTGTATAATACATTAGTGTGTATATTCCTTTGGAGGAAGAATTATCCTTCAAAAGGTACTTGTAGATTTGACAAAGTAGTTAACACAAGCATTGGAACTCCACCTATGACTTGAAATATTTTAAAAACACTCTTTAACACTGAAAGATCTTCTATAAACTTTGAATACTGTGGACTCAGTGTACCCTTGTGCTGAAAAAGCACAGTTGCTCAGGTATTATAATCTTTTTCAACTTGGCCTTTGTTCTCTTACTGCAGTAGAATGGCGTATCCAAACTGGATTGATAATATCTGGGTCAGGACTATACTGAATGGGATCCATGGGGTGGAGTGTATGCCCCTCAGGTCTTGCATTGCAATTTCCATCAACCCTAACCACCTTATCCTGTAGTAAAGTGTGGTGGGGTCAGTGGTCCAGCAAAAACGTCAAGACCACATGTCCTCTATCCCTATTCTAGTCCAGCTATTTGTTTCCACCAGTGGAACCATATATCTCTTTGCAATTTCAAAACTAATGATGTACCCTCTTTCCATATACAGGCAGTCCCTGAGTTACAAACATCCAACTTACAAATGACTCACAGTTAAGCATGGGGGTAAAACTACAGGCATGAGAGAAATCAACCCCTCAGAAGGAAAATTCACTCGTCATGGGGAAAAACTTGTATCTACTGAATCTTTATCACCAATCTTTGTTTACACAACAAGCCAAATTGTTCAAATTCCAATTGTCACAGTGACAGAAAGTGAGGCAAAATATGCCAAACATGGGCACAGACAGCAAAACAAATTGGAGTTACACTTTTAAAATTTACCTGTTCTGACTTAAAAACAAATTCAACTTAAGAAAAAACCTACAAAACCCATCTTGTTTATAACTTGAAGACTGCCTGTACTTCCTTTGTACATGAATGTCCACTTAGCTAGTTGACCTTCCATCTAGATCAGTGGTTTTCATCCTGTTTTCCAACTGTTAGGATTTCTGGGAGTTGAAGTCCAAAACAGCTGGAAACTCACAGGTTGAGAACCACTGCTCTAGATTTTGTGACAGTGATTCCTCCTCAACCTTAACCCTAACCTCCACTTCTTGGATAATTGAGTAGATCAGTGTTACTTAAAATTATTGTTCCTCAACTGGTGATGATTCCTGACATGTTTCCAGGATATATATTTTTTAAAACCAATGGTGCCATTTTGGGAGGGGGGCAGGAATATAGCCATCTGCCAAAATATGGTGCTAGTTCTTGTACAGTGAGGGAAGAAGTGCTGGTTCCCACATGATAGCACCTAGAAGTAGATGCTACATTCTTCTTTCAACAACTTCATAGAAATATCATATGGGAAGTAGGCAGAACAGGAAAATAGTGGTGAGATGTGTTTTATATTTTGAGATCATAACTCACGAGGCAAAAAGCTATTTTGCATGTTTGAGATCAGATATTTTTAGCTAGTCACTATTGGAGAAAACAGAAAAAATGTGTGTGCATGTGTTGTTGTTGCTGCTGTTATTTTAAAAGCCAATATCTTCATAAATGGTTTCATAGCTTATTCTAAATATTTGAACTATTAATAATAGCAGTCCTTGGGAATATCTGACAATTTAGTAGCTGATTTTAAAGAACATTCCATATGCTTTACTTTGTCAATTGGAGTCTGAAGGCTCTGTTCAAAGTAAAGAACAGGTGTATTGTCTGATGTAATTCAGCAAAAAGTTTTTAGATACTGTTAAATATATATTTCACAGCCTAGCACCTTTCAAAAATCTGCAAAATGATTTCTGCAAAACCTCTGAATCTCTACAGAATATATATATAAAATCTAGAGCCCCCCTTTTACTTCTAAAAGAAGGGTATATTTGTACTTAGTTGTGTTTACTGAATTGAAAATGTTTTCTTCCTTCTTTTAAAAAATCATTTTGTTATACGCTTAAAAGACAACAACATATATCACACATAAATTCCAAATCAAAAAGACTCACCATGACCCAGTCTACAATCCTTCCTCCTCCTGTTCGTACCTACATGGTATGAAATAAAAGTGAAGAGCATTAAAAATATGTTTTCTTAATGGTGGTTGCTTGTAGCTATTGTCTTCAGAAGCCAAGAATAGATGGAATAAGAGCAGGCACTGTCTTTCTTCCCTCAGTCACAGTTGGATTATTGCTGTCCTCTTTCCTGTATTATTGAAGATACCAGGTGTCAATTGTCAAGATTGGGATTTTCTGTATTTCTTCTTCACAAAAAGAGCAGGGACCCCAACTGGAGACAGTGAGGATCTCCTGGCTCTGAATTTTGAGTAGCATGTATTTGTTCTGGCCAGCAATGGTGCTGGCTAAAATCCGATGTGAAGAGTATGTCCTAGCAGGACCAAGACATACGGGGAGTCATGTCAGGTGTACCATAGTATCTTCAGGATCAAGAAAAAATGAGGCACCATATTTTCTGGCATATAAGACGACTGGGCGTATAAGACGATCCCAACTTTTCCAGTTAAAATATAGAGTTTGGGTTATACTCACCGTATAAGACTGCCCCTTTTTTAACGCACACCAAATAAAAAATTTAAAAGCATCAGATTTGATTTCAATATGGTAATGTTCCTATTATTGTACCTCCTCCTCTGCGTCTCAGATCTTGCACATGCTCACCTGCACTTATGACCCAAGGCAGCAGCTCCAAGAGCCAAGGAGGAGGGGGAAGGAGCCACACACTTTCCAAGGCATTTTAAGGTGGCTTCTCACTTCCAGATAAAGAAGAGTGATGATTTCCTGGAAGAGAAGAGTAAAAGAGGGTTTACTTTTTGTTTGCTATGGGTTTAATAAAAAAGATTAAACTGTGGTCATGAAAAGCGGGCAAGGAGATGTTACTTGCTCCCGCTTTCTTTCTTTTCAAGCTAATTTTTGTTCGTGCTCAGGCCCGAAACGAAAGAACGAATGAAACGGAGGAAATGAGTACCATGCACACCTCTAGTTGGCAGTCTCCCATCCAAATATTAAGCGAACCTGACCCTCCTTAGCTTCCAATATCCGATGTCGTTTTAGGGTATTTAGGCCCACAATTTTGAAGTTCCTTTTGTATTGACACCACAGATACCTTTCTATTCTCCTGTCACTTGACTTTTCTGACTAGTCCACATTAAATGCAGAGACAGGCACTTGGAATATTCCAGATGTTGTAGAACAGCATTTTTCCCCAGTCCTTGCCAGTATTTCTATGATTTTATGGTGGGACAGAACTCACTACCTTCTGGCTAGACATATGAGGTCTGTTTCTTTTTATAGGCTGGTTCTTCCTGCATCAAGTTAATTTCTAGAAACGTTGCTTGTCATAATACTTCTTAAAATCTCTTTGTGTCATCTTGTGCAATAATAAGTGTAAAAACAATTACAGTAATTCCACCCTCCTTTTCTTTTATAGTTTTCTCACTTTGCTTTCAAATAGGAAAAAAAATAATTATTGGCAGTCACAATGTCAATACAGACTCCTGCACACCTTTCTTTCCTTCTGTGATCAAAGAGGCAAGCATTTTTGGAATAGTTACTTCTCTTTCTGAAATCCCCATGCAAGTTAATTTGAGTGAATTCTGTTCTGAACTGATGTTCAGAATAGAAGGGTTTGATGATTGATCATTAACTTCTCTGAACACTGAAATGCTTCATTTATTTAGCAAACAAGAGTGCAGGAAAGTAGGTCTGATAGTGCTGCATAAATTGTACTGGCCTTTCTTTGTCCACTTGTTGAATGTGCTGTCTGTATGTTCTACTTTGCTGCAGCAATTGTTTGGCCTTTGCTCTTGCTAGTTAAGGTGTGGCTGGCTGATTCACGGTGTTCTCTCTTTCCCCTCTTACCTGAAGATTTGCATGTTTGACCTGGCGAAGTAATTGGGCCCACAGCAACCTGGGCGTGCCTCTCGGAGAAGCACTTAGTTTCATGTATGACTCATAAGCTGAAGCACAGACTCTACTTCCCCAATCTACAGTAGCCATTTTAACTGCAGAAAACTGTTGGATTTCTTGTTATCGTCTAGCCTTAGAAAGAACTTAAAGCAAGGTAATTTTGATAGACATTATTTGTTAATGCAACTGTAACTTGAGTTCTTTTTAATTCTAGTAGAGGATTGTGTGTACCTACTGAGTTTTTAAAAAGAGGCATGGCTGTGTGCTTTTGATTCGTTAATAAGTGAAACTTCAACCCCATTCTTAATTGTATTTAATGAAGAATCAGGAACGGAGAAGGTTCTATGGAGTGTTTTATGTTTAAATGGTTAGCTTTCGAGGTGGTGGGGTAGAGGGAAAGATTTTCTGATTGGAGAAAAGTAAAACTTCCCTTGTTCAGTTTGGTGGTTTGTTTTTTTGTTTTGTCTTTTGGCTGAAAAGCATAAAGTGTTTTTAAACTATTTGTCAGTATTACAGATCTACCTATAAATAACATATATATATATTAGTGTCTTTGAATAAGCAGGCAAATATACCATACTAAAAATAAGCAATAACACTTTGCTTTATAAGTAAATGTACTCCAGTTGTAATGTTTACCTCTAACCTGAATATGTACATAGATTCTTGCCTAGAGTATTATGTTTGTGAGTTTGTAAGCATGGACTAGTATCAACTGCTGACATTTTTCAGATGTCACATTACTAAAATAGTTGTGTTAAAGGCTGATATTGTGATTATGTCTACTTGGCAGACGTTGGATCGTCTTACACAGTGTTTTCTATAATACTCTTGTTGCTCATCATTGTTATACTACATGCTACAAAAATTAGTGTGCAGTTCTCTGTTTCTTAGCATGGTTGTTGCTTTATTAATGGAAGTTTTAACTCTGATGCTTGGCAAAATATTGTATTGAAAAGAGCTGAGCTGTGACAATTGGTGAAAGTTTCAAGTTAGGTGTCAGGAATAGAAATGCTGCTTTTACAGGCTGTTTCTATTGGGGGGAGCACAAGGAATAAGCTTGAGACTTAAATTACTTATATCTTGACTTCAACCTGCCAAAATATTGTTCTCCGCAAACAATGTGGAGACTAGAACTCGTAACAATGGCTTCAAACTACAGGAAAGGAGATTCCACATGAACATTAGGAAGAAATTTCTAACTATGAGAGCTGTTCAGCAGTGGAACTCTCTGCCCTGGGCTGTGGTGGAGGCTCCTTCTTTGGAGGCTTTCAAACAGAGGCTGGATGGCCATCTGTTGGGGGTGCTTTGAATGCGATTTTCCTGCTTCTTGGCAGGGGCTGGACTGGATGGCCTATGAGGTCTCTTATAACACTATGATTCTATGAATATTAGGAAGATTTGTTATTGTCCTCCATTTTTAAGAAATTTTTGTCATATATTCAGTTGAATTCTTGTTTTGTAAAAGTTGTGTGTCTCTTGTTTTCTTTTTTCAACTGAAAACACAATTTGTTCAACTTTTAGAACTGTGTTGGATTTATCAAAACTCTTCCCCACTGGTGAGAGTTGCCCCAGAGAAGAAGCAATTAACAGGTACATATGAACCTGGATATTTTACTTTGCAGAACAAATAACTCTTCCTTCATGCATTTGTGCGGGTTAAAAGACATTTGCAATGTGATGTGAAGACAGACATCAGTAATGACAAAATACTCCTGCTAGTCTACTGGAGGATGATGGTGGGCATGGAAATCTGGAGTTCGTGCTATCAATTCTTTTTCTGTTTTTTCCCTTTTAAATACACACACACACACACACATACACATACACACAGACCTACACATACATTTTAAAAACACTGCTCATAAAATGAGTGTATGCAAGGAGAGTTATTTGTTCTACAAAGGAAAACATCCAGGTTCATATGTACCTGTTAATTGCTTCTTCTCTGGGGCAATTCTCACCAGTGGGAAAGAGTAGAAACACAACAGTAGTGCCCAATAGGAGGGTTAACTCTGTGTCTTTTATTGATCAAATATGCCATTTACTGCTGTTTGCCCTACAGAAGGAACAGTCAAAAAGTACACGTGAACCTGTACATATTCATTTGCAGAGCAAATAACCTTCAATGAGAAACAGTTTTAGTTAGAAAACGATGTGGATTCGTGGTAGAAGGATCAGCTCCTTCCTATGTATTTGAGGTGTCTCAGCAGGATTTCCTCTTTGACGATAATTCTTTATGTAAATGCAGGAATTTCTGAGCATAGATACAATATGTCTGATCTGGATAGTATAAAAAGTGAAAGCAATTATGGTAGTTTACAGTAAGTAGATGAAGTCTAATGGGAATTTATGCTTTGGAGCTATGTCCAGTTGCTAGTCTGAACTAGAAGAGACAATTGGATTTACCCGGTACATAAACATTGATCTTCTATTCAGGAATTGATTTAGTGGGCCTGCTCTAGTTGAAATTTAGGCCTTAATATTATGAGTCAATTTATGGTGATGTCTGGAGATGGTGTTGGTCTGATTTGGTATATCCAGGGATATACTGAGACACCAAGGCTTAGACAATGGTTGTCAACTTATTTTTGAACAACAATATGTTTGTTTATTGAAGGAAAGGCAGAATTAAATTGTTGTATACTAAAAGATTAACACGTTACTGGTAGATTATATGTGTTAATTTCTGGACAGAAGTTTCCCCTACAGATGCAAGAATTTAGAGAGTGTGCATACCCTAGGGCAGGGATGTCAAACTCATTTTCACTGCGGGCCACATCAGCCACATCAGCCTACAATAGGATATTGCTTTCAAAATCCTATTGTAATTGTAAGACTGTATAAATGTAAGTGTTGCCCATGCCTTATGGGCCACATAAAATGACGTACCAGGACAGATTTGGCCTGCGGGCCTTTCATTTGACACATGCCATAGGATAAAAAGAAAAAGCTGGTAAGAATCTTGTACAGAAACTCTGGCAGCTACTGTTTGGGAATTATTCAACAAGGGCTTTTATGACTTGCCCTAATAGCCAGTATTCTATTCTGAAAGACAGATCAGTTTGATTTCTAAAATAAAATGGCAGAGGGCATAATGCAAAGCCATGGACTGGAAGGTGGTGCATTATTTGTTGGCTTGAGGGCAGCCAATTGTCACCCTCAAACTTGTCACCCCTTCATTGTAAATCGTTTAACCCCCTCCCCCCAAAAAAACAAAAACAAAACACACACAACAACATTTGGATGCTGTTTTAGATCTCTCATGCTTAGCAACCCATTCCCAATAAAGAATTATTCATGATTGCGGGAGTTCTGTAACTGTATTGATCAGAAACTAGACAAAGAGCCCTATGCAGACCTTCATATTAAATGTGCAAAAGTGTGGAATGTTGCTGGTGTTTGAGGACATTTAGGGCAGGAGTAATGTTTCTGTGCACTCATCTGCCCACAGTGTACAGTACATGCAAACAAGCTCATGGAGCCTAAGGAAATGATCTCTCCCTGAAGTTTTCTGTGGGTTGTGTGTCTTACCCAAAAGGTAAGCATTCTAGACTACAGACATAACTATTCTGTGGTACGATATCATGGAAAGAAGCCTCCCCATCCCCACTGTGTTTGACTGGAAACTTGGTTATTATTATTTATTATGTTTATTTAAACCCCTTTTTTCTCTCCACAAAGGAGACTCAAAGTGGCCAGCCGACAGTAGTTCTTGGGGGATAAGAATGAACAAGAATACATACCAATGGCTACTGAATAACTTTTGCTTTCCCAGGCTTACCTATAGAAAAGTGGTTCTCAACCTGTGGGTCCCCAGGTGCTTTGGCCTACAACTCCCAGATATCCCTGCCAGTTTACCAGCTGTTAAAATTTCTGGGAATTGAAGGACAAAAGATCTGGGGACCCACAGGTTGAGAACCACTGCTATAGAATAAATTCATTGTACTCAGTTTTTTTCTAATGAGTATAAATAAATAAGACATCATGTTCTGAATAGCAAAAATAGAGTGTCTCTACCTCCATTACCTAAATATATGAACATGCACATACCTCCCGTAAAAGAGAGCAAAAATATGAACATCTCTTGCTACTTCATGTTTTTTCATGTGATGTATTTATTTCCAGTTTGTAGTATGATTCAAACGACGTTAAAGAACAACTATCGGTAATTATGGCTTTTTTAAATCGTTTGCAAGAGATTTTGTGAATGAAGGAGACACATCTCAAAATATCAGAAAACAAGATAACTTTGATCTATTGTTGCAAAAAAGATATAAACCCTTAATGGTGTATAATTATGGGGGGAAATGCATCTTCTTCCAGTATGTTTCCAATTGTAGAACAGTGTCACAAAATTACAAAACAATTTTTTCAACACAACCTTTTGAAACTGCGAACAGTGCGTTGCTGCACTGGAACACCTCATATCCATATAAAATTGTAATTGATAATGCAATTTGTAAGTCCAATTAAATAATTAGAATTATATTCATTTTTCAATAGAAATGTATTTTCTTAGCCTTCAAATAGTCAGCATAGCTACTTTTAGCTTTTAAATGGTGGTTAAACCTTTTGGGGGAAACTCAGTGTTTTATGGTTTTCTTTCGTGGGTCAGAAAACAGTCTGCAGATATTTCTGATAATTCAATCTGGTAATTAAGTATTGCCTTCATGGCATATTGAATTAACTTTTTTGTGTTTCACTGGGCTCTATAGGGTGAAAGGTGTTTACCTGGCTAGCTTTCATGGCTATTAAAAGAGAAAAGCATATCCAGTCTTTGCTTCTTTTTACTCAGCTTTGAGCACTAGCTCTTTTCAAGGTCTGCACTGAACTGTTAATATATGCAAGAATGTGTTAATGGTTCTCAATCATTATCTTCTATGTGAAGTATGTGTTCTTACTGCTTTTGGAACTTGTGTGGATGCCCCTCCTTTATACTCCTCACATCCCCCCCCCCTCCATTAGTCACCTTGTTGAAGAAACCAAGGAGGTTGGCCCCTGTATACACCACTAACAACAAACATTCTAGCTGTAATAAAATGGTCACAATACGGGATTTCGCTGGAATATCGGGTTTTTAACCTCATGCTTAGGGCAAAATGACACATTATATGTATTTGTGAAACTTCAAAAAGGCTTCTTTTTATTTTATGCATTTTCTGTAGCAGAGGTTCAAGAGAAGGCCAGGGTAAATAGAGATGTGGACCTCTTAATCCTGCTGAAAGTGCCCCCATCTTGTAAGGGGGGGGAGCACCTGGGGGCAGCTTTCAGCTGTGAAGTAATTAGCTACAATTAACAAGTATTGTGTAATTCATTCCTTTTTGCAATGACTGCAGCCTGCATTATATAATGATTGTAACATTAAAAAGAACACCTAATTTCTTTTGTGATTTAAGTACCGTTTTAGTTACAGGATTAGTGTGTGTGCTTTACTGCTTAGACTTGCTTTGTCTACTCTAGGCTAGTAGCTTTCTGATGTTTAAAGTAATAAAATATAACTAATAAGTTACAAAATGTGAATAATTATGAGAAAATAGCTACTTATAAAAATATTGGCAGCCTTCTACATTAACTGGCATGGAGGAACAATGAAAATGAAAAAAGTCAAATAAATTGCAATTTTTTACCCGAGGGAATGCCTTTCTAGGAATTTCTAGTTCTTCCAGCATGAGGCTGTGGGCGGCTTTTTCTTTTCAAGCTGACCATAGATTTGTATTGGAAGACCTAGAGATTCCTAGAAAGGTATTTTTTCTAGAATTCCTCAGTTCCTCCTGAAGGAAGTTGTCCATAGAATCACACTGGAGATATTAGAGATTTCTAGAGAGAACATATTTAATCAAATCCACGAATAATCAAATCTCCAAACTTGAAAAATCAAAATATGGAGAGACAACTGTAGTGTTATCTATCAAGGTCTCCAATTGGAAAGTGCTTTGAAATTATAATTTGAACTAATTTCTTTTTGAAATAAAATTCTAAGCATAGAGTGTAAGCAGAGATCATTTCACATTGCACTCTCTGTATCCAATTTGTGTAATATGCAAAGATGGCTTGATTGTATTACAGTTGGCTCTACATATTTGTGGATTTAACATAATAGGTTCTCTAGGAATCTCTAGGTCCTTCAGGCCGACAAAGTTTACCATAGAGTTGACCTGAAGTTCCTGCAAACTCCTGGAGAGGTGTTCTCTCAGATGGAAAAAATAATGTTTTTTCAATTCATGCTTTCCCCACTTCTTCACCCCTAATCCCCACAGAAACTGAATATCTACAGTAAAGAGTAGTTTTGCCTGTAATGTCTACAGTAGAGAAATATCTAAGGATGAAGAGCCAAAAGTGTGTAGCTGTATGTGTGTGCTTTGCTACTGGCTAGTGAATGTTGTGAACATTTTACTTTTAATATTATTGTTACATTCTGGTTAATTCTATATTGTGATCTATTTGTACATACGTGCAATATTTTGTATAACTATAATAAAAATGAGCTTCCGTTGATGAAGTGGGTTAAACCGCTGAGCTGCTGAACTTGCTGATCAAAAGGTTGGCGGTTAGCCCCAGATTCCGCCACCTATCCGTTCGAAAACATGCAAATGTGAGTAGATCAGTAGGTACTGCTCCGACGGGAATGTAGTGGTGCGCCATGCAGTCATGCTGGCCACATGATCTTGGAGTTGTCTATGGACAACGCCGGCTCTTTAGCTTAAAAATGGAGACGAGCATCAACCCCCAGAGTTGGACACAACTGGACTTAATGTCAGGGGAAAACCTTTACCTTTTACCTAGAACTGTTTTACATGGATAGAGGTTCAGAGGTTTTGTATTCTACTTTGGTGAAACCATTTTGCAGATTTTTGAAAAGTGCTAGGCTGTATTCTGGAAAATGCTAAGGACAAAAAGCTAAAATTGTGGTAGAATTGTTGGCAGAGTAGAGGCATATATACTCCAGTCCACATGACCTTGGAGGTGACTACAGACAACGCTAGCTCTTTGGCTTAGAAATGGAGATGAGCACTACTCCCCAGAGTCGGATACGATTAGACTTAATGACAAGGGGAAACCTTTACCTTTACTATAATAAAAATGTAGGGGGGGGGGGGCAAATAAGACAAATACTTTTACAATACTTTCTGCCATTTTTCTACTTTTTCCAGATCATTATTTTTCTTTAAAAATAATTGTTTTTTTCTGTATGAGAAGGCAAAGTAGAGGTGCACATCAGTAAAGCATAATATATATTGGAAACCAAAGGGAAATGGTTTAACATTCTTACACAGAGAGTATTAGTAAAATCCAAATCTTTAGATCTTCTCATCTTATCCAGAGAATCAGATACAACCCAAGTTGAAGAATTGTTGTGAACGTTAATAGCTTTTTAAAAGCCTGTTGATTGATATTATCAGTATATAATATCAATTTTTAACATTTTATATCTAGATCCAGTAAGATGTTTGGAACAATATTTAGGATATATGCATATATGTTGCATATATTTGCATATATGTTGTGGACTGCTCTTCTGATTCTGAGGGAGAAGGAGGACAGGTGGATGAAGAAGCAGTACTTGGGGATTTGGGGCTAAGTAATGAAAGAGAAGAGGTGGCAGAGGTAAGCCTGTTAATCAAAGACTTTAATTTTTGTCTGATGTGAGGACTTCTGTTTTAAGTTTGCTTGAAGACCATGCATTATCATCAGGATTGTACTTTCTATTTCACTTATTGCGTTATCTTTATTCTGGCTGAAGTAAAGCCTTTTTCTTTACTTTCACTTGTATCTAAGGCTGTTTCTGGCATTAAACTGGACAATATTCATCTGGCATGGGCAAACTTTTTTGTTTTGGGGCCTCATTCTGGGCCTGGCTGGGAGGGCTGTGCCAGGAGGGATGGGGCCAGGCACACGCTGGGTGGTGTGGTCCTGGAAGTGGGAGGGTCCAGGAGAGGGTGGGGCCATGAGAGGGCTGGGCAGAGTCATCCTCAGGTTGTTCTCCCAGCAGGAAGGCAGGAGGAAGGCAGGACAGGTAACGACTGCCCCGATCTTCCCCCCCTCCCTCCCCCATCCTCCTCTCCCGATCCTCGGTCTGTCCTCTTGGCATTATGCCGGGAGGAGGGCGAGACATTGTTTCGACATTGAGAGTGCTCTGGAGGGCTCTCAGCCACCGTGTGCCTTCTTTGAAACATCCTCCTGGCATAAAGATGGGCTGCTCACGCCATCCTTATGCTGGGAGGAAGTCGAGACACATGGTGGTTGAGAGTGGGTTTTTTGCTGCTATGTGCCTTCTCCCCTGTCTTTTTGGCATAAGGACGCAGCAGGCCACCGTGTCCTTTGCCAAGAGGACAGAAAAAATGAGGAGGGCCTGAGGTAAGCACCCAGGGAGGTGCATCTGGCCCCTGGGCCTTAGGTTACCCGTGCCTGATATGCAATATTAAATGTATCCATTAAATATGGAGAATACAGCCAATATTAAAATTTTCCTGGTGGGTAATCAACTTCCGCTGGTCCGTGGAAGCAAACAAAAAACTTCATACCTTTTGTTGGAAGGAT